GTGGTCTGTGAATCTAGCTGATAGTCGAAGGATGTGTAAGCGAGTTCCTTTAACTCTCACATGAGACGTGAGAAGTGACAAGTAAAAATTGAAATAAAGTACAGATTGTGACATAAAACTCCTCGTGTAGTTCCTTCTGTTATTCATCAATGGATTGACATTCTTCAAGGGCATATTAGGGTGGCACACTTTGCTACCGTTTACCACACCTCAAGATATTCTGCAATGCTTTAGTCGGGAACTCAGCTCCCGCTACTTCGGAGTGGAATCCAACATCAGTCATGTTTCAATCGCTGCTTGAAGATAGCAAGTGGGCCCAAAAGAAACGAATTACAGGAGAGAAAACAGTAACAGGTGCCGCGCTGATAAACTGACGCACAGCTATCCATTATAACATTTGCATATAAAGAGTGACAGGCACTGTACAAGTCATAGCAAGTTATCGCAACTCATTGTAGCTATCTGTACCAAAATCCTCTCGAACTTTATTGAACGCTTTGTAGTTGCCCATTGTTTGGTTACTGACAGATGATGTATTCTTTATCAATCAGACCACTTTAAGATGTATTTTAATGGCTAGAAATAAGCACAAGTCTATTATTTCTGTTTTGCAATATAATCTGCACTTCACATGATAGAAAAAAAATTCTTTACATTTCATGTAGCAGGCGCTGAATCTGGACCTATACATGTCCGATCGTAAAGGGCTTCCCATAGTAGTCCTCCCCTTATGTGACCAGCTGTCACACTAATTAACCACCCTCATCAAAACCGACTATCTCTGTGTTCATGCGGAGACGACAAGTCGTGTTGGCCATCGCAACAGAATTCAGAAATTGGATCTCAAGCCGATTCACCCCATGACCTTGTTCAACGTTTGGACTATAGATTTGAGCAAACATCGAGGGAAGCATTTTTAAACCACTTATTGCTGTGGATACGTGATGTAGTTAAAATGAATGTGACTAATTTTTAACAGATTCATAATCATATCTAATGGAATGAAAAAAATACCCTGCTAGAGAAGCAGTACCTTTTCTCGACTTACTTTCTACCTATGGTTCTAAAAGCATAAGGTGAGCAGAAACTATGCGAATTTGTATGCTGATTTACTACAGCTTGCTTTGACCAACTACATATTTTTATTATAAAGTTGTTTAATTTTAGTACTCAGATATCAAGTGCACCTTCCTAAGAGTGCATGGCCGCATCAATTTATTTTCAACTGTCCCATCGACTTCGTCACCTCGGACCGGGATAAGTTACTTAACCCTTATAATATTACAATAGCACTGGTAGCAATGTCCCATGCTTTGATTAATTGAGTTTATTGAAGTAAACTAAAAGTCAAATTATTTTTGATGGCACAGTAATTTTGTAAAATTGGTATGTTTCATAAGCTATAAATTTGTAATTGAGAGAAGATAGAGATGGTTAAGAACTCTATAAGTGTTTTACCGCAGTTTAGAGGAAAGCTTTACTTTGCAATATTTCCTATATTTTCCTGTGAGGTCATCGTCTGCTATTCCAAAGAGCTCTTCTCCTTGCATTATAAGTTTAATAGCATTATACACCTCGGCAACACCTTTGTAAACTACTTTGTTAGGAAACATTTCTTACCAAGGCAAAACAAAAGTTCCATTTTTGTCTTCCATCTTTACATGCAGAAAATCAAGGCATGCATTCCCCTCACATCTTTTTAAAACAGAACATTTTTACCCGCATTCTTGAGACCTTATCGCTGAAGCAGTACCTTGCTGTATCCTGCTCTATTTTGAAGCGTATGGACCGCGCTATATTGTAATTAGAGGGTAGGAAATTAGAAATATCTCAGACCAGAATCAAAGGAAACTTCTTGTTGATACCAATAATTTTGTAACAAAATTTTCGTAAAAATGACTCTGTAAAGATTGAGACTCAGAATGCACTAAAAATGTGATTGGAATGTGTAAAGGCTCTACCAAAATAAAATCCTGCACAAGGGTGGGTAACTAACAGCTTTTTATTTTGCGAATACAACTCAAAGAAAGGCTGATCTTTCACAAATCTTACCATTTAGACAGCATTTTTTTCACATGTTTTCAGTTGAACAGTAAAATAAACCTCACATTGTACTATTGTCGGTTTTAAAACATGCAGACCGCTATTAATTTGATTTTTTCATTTTTTTCCACAACCCAAAGTGATGTTAAAGTAACTTAATTGTATCTACGAATTTCTAGAAATATTGATTTTGAGTCTGGGTAAGGGCCACACAAGCTTCAGAATGTTTACCAAGCAATTATTTTAAGTCCCACTATATGGTACAATCTTACCTTATAAATTGTTTTGTGAGGATCACGAAAATATCCAGAAACGTTTCTCTGCTTACTCAGGTCGAACGAAAAGCACTTAGAGTAGAGAGGTTAGATGAGACAACTGTTTACCAAAAAGCGAGACTGCTTTCTATCGCCAGAACCGCTCATAGATGCCATCGAGATCATATAATTTATAGTGGAGGAAAATTATTCCACATTTTTGCTCTCAAATCGAAAGATATAGGCAGTATTCTCGCGACTAACTGCACTGGGTACACTTTTATTCAACTCAAGATTGGAAAGTAGAAATACATGTTTTTAGGTGTTAAATTCATGCTCTTATCTTGTATCCAGTTAGTGGAGAGTAAAACTATATATTCTGCACAAATTTAACTTTTTTAATTACCTTTATTTTTGACGTTTGAGAATTTAATCAACGATTTGATTTGTCTGCATAGCTATAAATCCTTATAGTGATACCGACTGAGTTAACTACTTAATGCAAAATATCAATAAGGCGTGGAATCTTCCAATTATACTTATAAATTGTCCTTTTAGCTCTAAACCTTGTCACATCATTTAAATTCCTGTAGTAGAGGCTGATGGCTATATTCTTGCATAGGTATACCTGGCTCAATCTTTTAAAATAGTAATATAAATTGCTATTTTAAAGTATTTGACAACGCTTGTGGATGAAAAAATATTTTTTTTTTGCTGTTTGAGCAATTAGTCAAAGTGCACGATGCAGATAAGATCCAAAACAGCGCAAACAGTCTATAAGGCTATCCCCTAATCGATAGCATTTTCGGGCGAAAAAAAACACTAGTCAATCGTGAAGGCTTTTTTGACATAAGAAAGGCCTCGTAGTATAGGGTGTGTCTCCCAAAGCAAAGGCTTGGTACTCACGGGTATTGGTATCTAACCGAATAAATGGTAACCCATTAACGAACAGCTTCTTTGTGTGACTTGGATAGCGCCATCTGTCGATTCTGAGTCAGTTGCTAAAAGTGCTTGGATTCGGTCTATTTTTTCAACAACTTACGCCGCTGTACATGTTCAAGAAACTAAAAATCCTCGTTTATGTGTAGTTATTAGATAAATTTCCTTTAAATTTTCCAAAATAGAGTAGTTTGACTCCTAACTAGCAATGTAGTCATCTATTCAAAACATTTTTACATTTATGCGTTAAATATTGCATTATTTATCAAGAGGCACCTTAGGTTAGCAGATGCCTATGGGATTGGATACGGGGACGTCTCTGAGCGTGAAAAGGCTCCAATCAAAATTTGTAAGTATTTAACCTCTTTAAGAGCGGAAAGTATAAGTCTGAACTGTAAGAGCATATTGTAATGGTTCCATCGTTTTTGAACCAATTTCAGAAATTCATTTGACTGATGATGAAATTGTAGGAGAGTGTAATTTCTGCAATTTTTCAAGCCTACGGTGAAACTTAGAAATTGTGTAATTTTTTATGAGTTTGCCAAAGAACATGAGCTGTTAAAATTAATAACTCACCTCACATAAAAGTATCTAGTGGCAGTAACGTAAAGATCCACTTAGGCTAATAAGAAATCTGCACAATTTTTAGTATAGCATTCTGCAGTGGGTTGTTATAACTTGTAAAGACCTTCAAGAGGCATGCGTTTATTTATGTGCATACATTTTAATGCACTGGCAGCCATGCGTCAGTCTGTTGCAATGGTGCTTCCCATCTCTTGTACACTCTTTTATCCCAATCCTATTCTTCTTCTTCCATGTTCAACTCACACTCATTTCATCAAGTGCCGAATAAATTATGATGAGAAGATGGCGGAGATCTAATTTGCCCGATTAGAGAACCACCTGAACTCGGTTACGAAGCTGCAGGAGCTGGCTTCTCGTCAACTTCGATGCAGAATGATTGGCAAAATGCGGCGTGTTGTATCAGGCCGTACCACACAAAAGTAGCTTAAATGGCAGATGCTGGTGGTGGATCACCAATGATTTGATAATAGATGCTGCAACACATTAGGCCGTAAATTACTAAATAAGGAGTTATGAGCCACTATTTACACTTTGATTTAATATTGACTTGCCAAGGGCATTCAGACATTTTTCACTTAAATGGCGCAAAAACTCGTTAACACACTCATTGGCTTTCTGCAGTTTACAGAATTCGGTGATCAAGCGTGTGGCATATAGCATGAATTCAAAGACAACACAAATTTTAAAAGGTCATCAGCTTTTCTTTACCTACCCAATTCATTCTTTGAATAGGTGGCTTACAGTTTACATTGTTTGGTGATTGATGGATCGACCGATTGAATGGATTGATGAGTGGGCGACTGACCTAACAACACTCAATCCGAAATAAATTTTATGAATTGGTATTGCAACTTCATGAATCTGGCTGGTTATTTTCGGAGGATGATCTGCTACCCTACCACTCATCCCATATTAATCACCTACAAGACACGGCACTTCACCCTCAGCGTGTAGGAGAATATGCTTACTTTTATGCGTGTACATGTGTTGTGATGGTGGTGATGGTGACAAACTTTCGTTAGAGCTGTCCGCGATGAGTAAGCGACTTAACGAAGGCCAAACAGCAATTATGCCCTACATTTATCTTCTGCACTCACATCTATGGTATCGGGTGTGTCAAAAACAAAACTGGCCATCCCGAAAACAACCAAAACTGTTCAGACAATGGGTTGACGAAATTTAACACCATTCTGTGGTGAAGTTAGGCAAGAGGAGGAAAATCCTTTCATCCTCATTTTCAGTCTCCGCATTCTTCTGATGATAATGTTTCTGCGATAGGAGATTATCATCTATACTTGGTACTTCAACCAGACATCCACATGGTCACACGTGAAATAGAAGAGACTGTTAAGAGGAGTGGGGAGTGAAGAAAATGTGGAACACTACTAGTTGTCGCTCTGACTTTTACAGCTAGATCCTCATATCAAAGGTGATATCACAGACAGCCTGTATCTGGGATAGACTAAAGACTGCAGATTATGATATTGGTTTTTATGGACAAATGAGATATCAAAAGAAGCTTTTCTGCCAGAAATTATCTGGGTGCTTTATGTATCCTATACCACTACCGATTTTTCGGTCTTTACCAGAATCTTGAAGGTCTTTAAATTTGTGTGTGCAACAGCATTACCATCCTGCACAATTCCGGTTTAAAGATTTCAATTATAGTTATTTTCAGAATTGTATTCATAAAAGTTAACCCAATTTTAGCAACCGCTTGATGACAACTTTCAATGGTTTTTCTTTTCTTCTATGTATATATATATATATATATATATATGAGTCAGAGGCGCATGACACTTTAAAGGCATGTCAGGCATCCAGATAGACTTTCATTATAATTACTTAGATATAAATCATAATGAGCATGGAGAAGTTGGTTGAATTACACTACCCAAACACAGATATATTCACTTCAAATGCTGTAATTTTCGTTTTCGATAATTTCACTTCCCAAATATTTTTCGTCACAGTAGTATGATTTTGAAACCCAATTGTACATTCACATTGGAATTTCTTTAAGCACACGCCTTACAAGACCTTTGGTGTAGGGCGCCGTCTATATCTCCCACTTCAAAGTCCAATTCATTCAAGGCGCGTCGTTAATCTTGTTTGTTCGCAGGGGCCACACAACTCATTCACCACCGTACGCCCTTGCATCAACACATTTGGTGTGTATGGACTTGAACGCATTCACCCACCTACAAATGGACGTACACACGCACATAGCGTAGCCAGTCGGATAATTAACGACTACTTTCTGTCAGCCCACCTCGCTGCTACCGCCGCCATACATACACACCGTCGATAAAACGAAAGTTTTGATTAATGCCAGCCAGGCCTAATGCCAACCAATGCCTCAACACCTAGAAAGATCCCACGGTCTCCAAGGCAGTGGGCCAGATTAGTAGCAATGCGATTGATACGCCGATAAGTTTAAAATTTGGATTTAGCATAAAATATTTGGTTTTACTGGCATATTTTCACTTTAAGGAGAATCTGCATATGTTGACCAGGAGCAAAAGAATGGACTTTTTAGGTGCAAATTAAGTGCCTCTCATATCCTTCAAAAAGCCCTTTCGATGTCGAGAGTACGCCGTGGCTGGCTGATGATAGGTTTAAGAAATGGGATGGATAGCTAAATTTGCAGTTTTGATTCCTGCATTTTGAGTGGTACCATTTGTGAGAGTCATTGATGTCTTGCAAGATAAGTGACTAGTTTTACTGTCGAATGTCCTCGGCTACTTGATTAAAAATCCCCCATGGTTTAATTAGACTATGCTGAAATAAAGGAAGCATTAAACACATAATATAAGTTTTTTGGTTTTCAATGAGCAACGGATTTCAGGTTAGGTCTTGATTATTTATTTAATCACTGCGAAGAGCATTTACCGGTTTTTGATAAGACCTAGTTTTTATTACTGAACCAGTACACTTGGTTTCTTACATTTTGCTTTTAAGTCACAATAAAAGATACAAAAGAACTTCTCTTATTTTTTTGCTCGTTAGGAACCACTCATTTACCCTGAAAGATAGTAACGGCCTTGTATTAATCTTTATTGCATTACCCTTTCATTTTAAGTGCTCCAATGTTGTTAACTGTGGTGTGTTTTGTCCCAAAGACTTTGAGACATAAGTTATGGTAAATGCTTATTAAATGTGTGCGGTAGGACTGGGAGACTTGTAACGTAGGTAGCATTAAGAGAGCTGAAAATCATCGAGCTGAGGGTCACCTAGTGAAAAATTTAAACTGTCTTTGTAGTATTATGCATGGCTGAAACGAATACCGTTCTGCCGCATACTGGTAAGCATATCGCAACATGATGCAGCAAACCTCACTCAGTTTAAGATTACCCCTTAGTCCCTGTTCAGGCCTTTTGCATAGTTTATTTTTGAAGTCAGGATCACGAATAATTTGTAACTAAGAAACAATGCTGAATTATCTGATGCTTTACTATTCCGTCAGTTTCCATTAATGGGTATGGGCTGACCTGTTCCACACGGAATCGACCTAACTTTTTCCATGACAGGCGTGAGCCTCACCTCGGGAGCTTTACTATCTGCAGGGTCAAAACCCCACTTGTCAGGAGTGTTTTGGTATTGGGAACATATCAGAAATCATAATACACGTGCACATGGTTGTGGGTGAATCATTTACGAAAGCTGAGGCGATTAAAGGTTATTTTAGAATTCATTTCCTGATAGTACGCTCCACCTGGCCCTCTCACTTTAGCTCTTTCTGGTGCTCGGTGTATGACTTAGACTCTAAATCACTAGTAAACTGTATGTTTGATATAATATATAGTGCCATTCGTATCCCCTTTCGCGTGTTTGTTCCTGTGCTGCTTGCTGCACTAATGTTGAAAATAATTCATTGGCGTGCTTTGACACGCTTTGTTTTGAGACAATGAATACTTACCTGGCGCCTGTGAAAAACATCGCATGTAAGTGCGACTAAATAGTCATTATTCGAATCGCTTCCTGAACTCATTCACTACCAGAGCCGCAAATTCGTGGCTTGTGTTTTTTAATTGTTTATGGTAAACAGTTACGTCAAATTAGGTCCTAAGCGGATTTTAGATAATAAAACAGGTAGAGAATGTTCGGCGCTTAAGAAGAATTACAGATTTGCATAAAATATCGGAACAGTAATGGCTAATTTTCCTCGTACCCTAAAAATCATTTGAAGATAGATTTTTCGAAGTTAAGTGAGTGTGAATATAAAAAGAACTTGCCCTTAAATGGCACAATAAAGTAGTGCCTGTTGATCGGATTTAGTTAAACACAAAAGATAAACTTCAGCCGCAGAAATTTTCGTAGTTGCCTTTTGGCGTCGACTACCGAAAGGTTATTAGTGATCAGAAATATGCTCTATCAGCCAGTTAAGAAGTCAGTTAGTCCTTTAATCAGCGGTAAAATTTATTATGAAGGCAGGAATGTGTTCCATAGCAAGCGTATTTCGTATGGCAGAAGATTAGAGACAGTTAATGACAGGTATGACTTAAACTAGCCTCATATAGCTAATATTCCCCACCCCGTCCTCTCTACCACTGCGTTCCCATTTCAGTGCTACACAGTCGTCAATCCGGGTTACGTTCAGTTTCTTCGTTAGTCTCCGTGGCTTAAGCTACCCACAGCATGTTCTTTCTGTTTGGTATGAAGCATCGACTTTGAAATGTTGTTCTTTTGGATCGGATTCTCTTACCAGTGTCACCAAAGTGACTCTCCAAGTCTCTCTTAAGTCCCAAATAAGGCATGCCAGGATAAAGATAAGTTTCATCATTCACGTACAGGAGGGCTAAGCAGCTGCTAGGATCGGGGGAGGGGTGTTAAGGTGCCACGTTGGAAACGGAAGGCGTGGCGACTATAGGTTCTGTGTAATCAAGTATTTTATTAAAAACGACTATTTTTACTACAAATCCATTGAATTCTAAAGAATTAAATTGTCTTTAATGCAATGAGTTTTAAAAATGAATTTTGCTGTGATCTATTCTTTCTAGTTTGTCCCAATCCTCTATTAATGATTTAGCGATCACGGGTGCCACCATTTTGTAGTATTTCCAATAGTGTGTTGGCTTTACTTTAGAACGTTCAGTCAAAAAATTTTACAAAATTCATCACTTCTGCCTCGTTGACATGCATTACACTGAAGAAAATTGGTCAAATAAACATTTAACACTAATTACACTTGAACAATCAGTCTTAATAAATCCTTCCTGGTTGTAAATTTCTTCTTTTTTCCAACTATTCATAAACTACCTAAATAGCAACATACACTTGCAGTTGCGCATCGTTTTCAAATGCACAAAGCCACTTCTCACACCTGAACAAACACTAATCGGGTCATGCATCGGTAGCAAACTAGTTTTTTCAGGCTCACACTGGAGACATGAACTGTTGTTGTGCTACCGTCACTGCTGCTGCAACTGATGGTACTGCATTCAGTGATGTTATTGCTATAGTAATTTCCAAAAAAGAAAACTTTTCGCTTTTTGTTTAGTTTTTAGCTCTACCAGTGCATTTGCGTGCTGTCTATTGTTTTTTAACCATTGAATATGCCATCTGCCATCTCTCATTTATCTAAAGATCGCAGAATAACTTAGAAAAATCATTTTGCTAAGGAATTTCTATATTTTAAACCAGAATAATCATTTCCTTCATAGCTGCAAATTATTCTTAAAAGCATGTCCCTTGAGGCGTTTTTTTGACAAGTTGGCTCGACGAAGCGATGCCTTGGACAGGTTTGAAGGATTGTAATCCGAAGGAAATGGCACAAGTTTGAATTACTTTTGGCACTAAAATGATTTTCTTTAAGGACTTACTGATGATTAATGTGTTTGTTATTTTCTTCTTCAACAATTTATGGGCAAATGACAACTTGGATTGTTTCAGAGTAACATCCAATTCTCTAGCCCTACCAACTAAAATAAAACATTTTTTTTATAAAATCCTAACTTCGTATTTTTATCTAAAAATAAAAAAGAATAGTGGACATTGAATGTAAAATATATGCAAATTGAGAACAATATTCTAACCCAAAGAAAATAAATCCATTTATGTCTCGCGCAGTAGTATTCATGCCTTTGCACAAACAGTTTCAAAAAATGAGTTAAAGTCATCATTAGTCTCGACTACTACGTCACGATGGTTTTGTGAACGGCCACACACATTCGCTATTATTCCCTTCACGTGTTGGTTATAAAGTTTTGATGGCATGTGTCAACAAGCTTTTACTATTGTAGACCTGCTTATTTGTAGCTCTGTAGATCAGTTTCAGTCGGTTTCTAGTCAGCCTCATGAATCTAACCTCTCCATTTTCTTATCTTGATAAGTAGATAACCTGTTATACCAAGTAGTTTCATGGATAGACCGATTGGATAAAGCACAATAAATAGATTTTGAATATTTATAATCTGCTCAGCAACTGAAATGCCTAAACACATTTGTGACAGTTACTACCTTATTGGGACAGTAAAGAATTTGAACTGTTTTAATATCCTCGGAAGTTCCGAGAGCGAATGTTAAATATAGTAGCTTAAGGATCTAAATGACAGCTGGGGAGTGAAATGTTTGGGGCACCACAACCATTAATATTTTTAATCATCCATTCCTCCATATCACAGGCTGTATGTGAAGAAGCGGCCTTTTTAAACCCTAAGCATAACTTTCAATTTATAACCGGACAGCTACCTGCAATGTCTATTTGTAGACAATGGTAAAGAACATGCGAGAAAGACCATAAATTAGAACTACCACTAGTCACATCATAATTTCTAAAGGGAGCACATGAGAGTCTAGTGATTTATCAGTTGAACTCTTTAATGGTGAACATTAATGTGTTCTAAGGCCCATGGTTGTCCTTATTTGTAACCCTTTCAACTACGCTTTAGACAGATAATCCAAAGTGCTCAAATCAGGAGAGTAAAATAGGTATATGTTAGGGGTCGTACCGGATGTTTAAAGTAAAATGGAGTCTTGTTAAAGCACGTAAGACCTATTTTAAGTAATTCCCTCAAACAGGGCTTAAAAGATGTGGCCTATATTTGGACGGAGACCATGGTATCAATTATAATACCGTGGAACGTTGCTTTAATCGGTAATTTTTCTCAGTGGTTGGTCACAAATTTTGTTGGTGATATCGCGAACTCACGATATAATTTATTCATCCTATTATCCGATATGTAACACTCGAAGGCCTCGGTAACAGAAGGTGACTTTACGTGTAGTCTATTCACAATGGGCCTCCCTCTTTATGAGTTATAACCTTACGAACTAGCGATAGAACAGTAGCACATT